GGCTCGTCCCCACTCGGTGTGTTATCTCGAAGTCATATTCCTGGAGCCTCTCGATCCAACGAGCTACTTGGCCTTCGGGGTTCTTGAAATTCAGGAGCCACTTCAATGCAGCGTGGTCAGTCCTGAGAAGGAATTTTCGCCCATAGAGGTACTTATAGAAGTGCTCCACCGATTTTACCATGGCCAATAGTTCCCTCCTGGTAACGCAGTAAGTTTCGTTCTGCCTTCGATAGCACCTTGCTGAAGTAACCGATGACTCGCTCTTGCCCATCTTGATACTGCGAAAGGACTCCACCAATGCCGATATTACTGGCATCTGTGTCAAGAATGAATTGTCCCTGTGGAAGTGGATACCTAAGAATCGGTGTCGTGGTCAGGCGTTCTTTCAGAGCATCAAAGGCGGCCTGGCATTCTGAATCCCAGTGGAAGGGACGTGCTTCCTCGGTGAGACGAGTCAGGGGCTTTGCGATATCCGAAAACATTCGAACGTAACGTCGATAATAAGTGCAGAGCCCAAGAAAGCTCCTGAGTTGATGCTTATCTCTTGGTACTGGCCATTGCTTCACTGCTCGTACCTTCTCAGGGTCGACTTCCACACCCTGCCTTCCTACGATGTGTCCCAAATAGTTAACTCGTTTCTGCAGCAGATGGCATTTCTTCAGATTGAGTGTGAGGTTTGCAGCCTGAAGTCTTTTGAAAACTTCCTCTAGGTTAGCCAGATGTTCTTCAAAAGTTTTACCGATCACGATGATGTCATCCAGATAAACCAGGCATGTCTTCCAGGAGAGTCCCCTCAACACATTCTCCATGATTCGTTCGAAGGTGGCCGGAGCATTGCAGAGTCCGAAAGGCATTACCTTGAATTGCCATAATCCAGTGCCGATGGTGAAAGCTGTCTTTTCCTTATCTGCCGGATCCATTTCCACCTGCCAATATCCACTTTTCAGGTCCAGAGTGGAGAAAAGATTCGATTCCGCCAACGTGTCGAGTGTGTCGTCAATTCGAGGCAACGGATAACTGTCCTTCTTCGTCACGTTGTTCAATCGGCGATAGTCCACGCAGAAACGAGTGTTTCCGTCTTTCTTCTTCACTAGTACCACTGGTGAAGCCCAAGGACTATTGGATGGCTCGATTACCCCGTCTTGTTCCATTTCCTGGATGATTATTTCTGCAATTTCTCTCTTGGCCTGTGGTAATCTTCGGGCTGGTTGACGAATCGGTCTGGTATCTCCCGTATCGATTTTGTGACTGACGATGTTGGTTCTACCTGTTTTTCCATTGGCAGGTATAAAAATGGATCTATACCTCTGTAGTAACGCGTATAACTTCTTCTTCTGTCGGTTGTTGAGTGAGTCGCTTGCAGCAGAGACGAGTTCTTCATACTTGTCGGCCCCATCAGTGGTTGCTGCCACCCGGTGGATTATGGAGGCTGCCGGGACACAGGTTCCAATCTTGGTTCCTCTGCCAATCGTCACAGGGTAGTTATTTATGTTGATAAATCGAACAGGTACATGGTCGTCTGCCGACAGTAAAGCCTTGCCGACTAAAATTCCACGTCCGACTTCCTCGTCATGGTTCCAGGGTTCCATGATGATGGGACTGCCTCGCTCCAATGTACCTTCCATCCGTGCTGCGACAATGGTCTCACTCCTTTTCGGTAACAGGACATCCTCTTCTAACGTTACCCCTGCCGCTACCTCCACCCGTGGATGTAAGAAGATCTCTTCGGCACCCACCTTGAGTGTTCGGCTTCTAAAGTCCAGTTGAATTCCTTGCGCACCCATGATGTCCATTCCCAGAATAACATCTTCTTCAATATCTGCCATGATAGCTCGATGTGGAAATTTGACGGTCCCGATCGATATATCCACATCGATTTCCCCATAAACGGTGGCAGCTTCACCCGTAGCAGTTCTCAGACGCCATCTTGATTTCACAAGTTGTTTTCTGGAAGACGGCAGAAGTCCACGTCGCAGGATCGTCTTCGATGCACCAGTATCCACCAACAATGCGCATTTCTTTCCGTCGATCTGTCCATCTACGTAGACGCTGCTGTTATCACGCCGTAGGGATGCCACAAAGATGAGAGGATCTTGAGAATGACGGGTCGAAGCTGGTTTCTGGTGATCGGCCCGCTTCAGTTTCCCTGCAGTCGTTTGAACTGGTCTCTTTTTCTCATTTAAGAGGCCCTTGATGGCGTTTATCAAGGCTTCATTAGGATCTTGCCTGGTATTTTCCGCTATGTTTCCGCTGTCGTTCATTGTTCGGACTCTCGCTGATCCTCGGGAAGCTTCTGCTGCGGCCTCGATCTCAAGCGCAGCTGTCAGAGCACTGGTGAGATCTTTTGGTCGAGTCAGGCGAACTGCTTTCTGCATTTCGATATCCCGCAATCCATCCACGAACGTTTGAACAGCTAGACATTCCATAAGGGACTCTGGGGCTGACGGGTAGGCACAGTGGACCAATCGGGCTACATCCACCTCGAATTCTTGAAGACTCTCGTTGGCTCTCTGTCGACGGCTCTTCATTTGTGATTGAAACACTTGCTGCAGATGTTCATGGCCATATCGCATGTCGAGACGTTTGACGAGATGATCGTAGCTATCGACTTCACCTTCCGGAATGGCTTGCAAGATGTTCAAAGCATCACCCCGTAGAGCTATTGTCAGAGCCACAACCTTGTCCTTGGATGTCCACCCATTGGCTTTGGAAGCTGCTTCGAACTGCTTCAGATAGTTCGGCCACGATGTTTTTCCATCGAATGTTGGTGGTTTTACTCGATTGGTAGTAGTCACTGCATCTGGCCCAACTGTGGTTTCATTCATGAGTCCTTGACCATTTCCAGACTTCTCCAGCACAGCTATTCTTTCTCTTTCGAGCTGCAGCTCCTTCTTCATTTCTTCAATCTGGGTGGTGAATTGGGTTGATACCTGAGCTATAATCTCATCCTGCTGAGACGCGATCTGTTCTTGCTGAGCAGCAATCTGAGTCAGCACCTCTTCCCGATGTGTTGATATCTGGGTCAATACTTCTTCTCGTTGGGCAGATATCTGAGAGGCTATCTGATCTTGCTGAGCAGAAATCTGAGCTAATACCTCTTCTCGCTGGGCTGATATCTGGGAGGCGATCTGATCTTGCTGAGCAGAAAACTGAGCCAGTACCTCTTTCTGAGCTGATATCTCTTCCCGTTGAGCCGATATCTGATCCAATACCTCTTGCCGTTGAGCTGAGATCTGCGATGCGATTTGATTTTGCTGAGCTGCAATCTCCTGTCGCTGAGCCGCTATCTGTTCCGTAATCTTCTCCTGCTGAGCCACCATCTGAGCCGCAATGTCCTGTCGCTGAGCCGCTATCTGTTCCGAGATCCCAGCCAACATCGATTCCGCTGAAGCTGGTTCCTCGAAGGTGAACGTCTCTGGGTCCTGACCTACGCTCACCATATACTCTATGAGACGATGCTGAAGTGTAGCCTTGATCCCTGTTGTATCGAGATCTCTCTCCTCCAACTCGCGTTTCAAGTCCACCACTCTCAACTCGTGTAGTTTCTTCATTGCAATGGTCTGTTCACTTCACACTGGAATATCCCACACTTCTGACACCAATTGTTACGTTATTCGGGTGCAGAAGCGAACACGACACTATTTATTTTCCAACTGATTTATTTAAACTAAAGAAACACTAATTTATATCGAACTTATAACTACTATTTATGTAAAACGATTTATAACACGCGGTATATAACTGTCTCTCTGACACTCGCTGTTTGACTCCCCGACGGCAGTTATTCGGCCGTTTATATATGAGATAACTAGACAGGCTTTGGTTCGAGAACCTTCTCGAATGAACTTCCGTCTCCTTCTTTTTGTTCTAGAAGCTTCTTAGAACGAACCTCTCTCTCTAATTGTTCCATCGATTGTTTCCAGAACATTCCAGAATCTTCTGTGACGTTATCTGTCACCGCGGCATATATTGAGTATTCGGAAATATGCTAGTGAATTGGGAGGTAGATAAGCAATCTGGTATGCGTGATACAGGATGATCGTTGTACTCCTGCCTTCCTGCTGATGTTTCTAAAGCCCCTCCAAGGGGAATATCATTACAGTATTTTATCGCATTTTCAGATTCTCTCTGAAGAGCTGATTTCATCGATGTATCACACTTGGGGTCTAGCGGAAATGATTACAGAGATATAGGGTGTGAAAAATCGACATTTTTCAACTTTAGGAATTTTTTTGTCGAAACTATTCATTATTGGTCAAAACGGCTCACATGTCCCTATCCCAACTCTTGATCAACTATCTACTGCCATTTTTTGAAACAAATACAGGGTGGTGCAGAATTCAGATTCTTGATCACCCGGTATATGTCCCAATTAAATATCAGTAGATAGTTAATCAAAAGTTGAGATAGGGACATGTAAGCCGTTTTGACCAATAATGAATAGTTTCGACAAAAAAAATTCCTTAAGTTGAAAAATGTCGATTTTTCACACCCTATATCTCTGTAATCATTTCCGCTAGACCCCAAGTGTGATATATCTATGAAATCAGCTCTTCAGAGAGAATCTGAAGATGCAATAAAATACAGGGTGTTCCATTTAAAATAACAAAGTTGTTGCTACTTTTCGATAGAAGCGGCAACGCCGCAGAGCTGAAAATATTTTAGATCGATAGATCAAGAGCAATTACTTGAGTAACCAAATTTTCAGAATGATCTTATGTCCCGTTCTCCGTAAACGTCTAAGGTGCCATCTACCGTGACCCACCCTATATATTGGATAGATGACCTTGATGATAAAATACCTTGTATATATGTTGGTGCAGAGTTGATAATAATTAGGTCTGTTCATTTGTGTTGCTGACCTTGTTAAAGTTGATTTTGTTCCCATAGTTGTCTCTGTTCATGGGATGATGTAAACAGAGTCATAAAAAAATCAAGTTTAGCAGGTAGGGCAAACACAATGGAACAGGTCTATTCAATTACCTATTATGATAACTTACTTGTTTTACTAGGAATTGGATATGCCCTTTCTGCCAATTTCTTCAATTCTGGTGTACTGAATGTCTTTCTAATAGGTTCCAGTAACCTATTAATGTATACTTCAACAGCATTCTTTAGATCACCAGGGTGAACTTCTTCTTTTGCAAATGCTTTTTCAAGATCTTCATATTTTTCAAATGAAGAGTCTCCACCAAACTCAGGTTTCCTAGGAACAATGTATTTTTCATTGGGTTTCAATAGAGGAAAAATTACATGTTTGGAGAAGGACAGGATACCATTTGTCTCAATGTTACCAGGTTCACAGAAGGCTTTCTTCAATTTTTTCTTCACATTAGCTGGAGAATCAAGTAAATCTATCTTACTATCTTCTTCAGATGATGACATTTTGGACCCTGTCAGACCTGGTACTGAAATAATGCAAATATTTGTGGAGAATTAGATACAAATTATTCAAAACTCCTACCCATTGGGTTCATCAAATGGGCTCTCTTTTGGTATCCCAATTGTGGCAAGTATTTTTCAGCAAAAGTGAATATTTTTCTTTGGTCTACTCCACCAAACTGAGCATCCACTTTCAGATATTCCTCATCCAAAGCTTGCAAACCTGAAAGGAATTAGAAAATAATTAATTTTGAAATATTAAATAAAATATCAATGATAGTCTAGAAGTATAAATAACAATCCAATACTTCAAGAGGAAAATTGTTGTTAACTCTCCAAAAAAAGATAATGTGGAATGAAGACCTGAATTCAATAAACAACTAATGTACATACCTGGATATAGAAGACCACTAAGCAGGGGATTATCCACTTGTTTAACAACTTCTGCACCTGCTTTCTTAGCATCATGTTCAGTAACAACAGATGTCAATCTATAAACATCCAGAGTATATTCTCTTGACAATTCATAATCAGTACCTTTCACAAATTTCAACTTTTCCAGTGAGACTCCAATTGACTGTAGCATAGCTTTGATTGAATGTTCATAATATTGAACTCTAAGCTCCAAAAGATCCCATGGCGCTTTCATATTGTCTAAATAAGCATGTAAATCAGCAAACAGAATAGTCACTTCAGTACCTGCCCTAAGAAAATCTGCTATCTTTGACATTGGTACAAAGTAGGCTATATGGGGTTTTCCAGTTGTTGCAGTACCCCAGTACAATTTCAAATCACGTTCTTTCAGAATTGTTTTGATTTTCTCCTCTCCTAATACTTCCTGCAAGTTTCTAGAGATTAAGTTATATTTCTCCTCTGGAGGTAAACTGTCTTCATTGTTCATCTTTCTAAAACAGGTAGCAAATATTGAAAGATCTTGCAGGAATTTTGCAACATATGGACAGTAATCAGATAAGACTACTTTTACATACTGATCCTCTTCTATACCTCCTTCTTTACTTACAATTGCACTTTCAGAGGAACGAAATTACAGCCACAGCCACTCGGTACAGTCGTCACACAAGTATGAAGTAATACTAGATAGATACTAGATTCAGAAATGTTTCTGAAATTAAAAATTTCAGTAAAAGCACTCTACTGTGGTAAAAGGAAGGGTAAAGAAAAAAATGTTAGGTTAGGTTAGCCACGACACGACAGTCGTCCTGTGCACTGCCAGTGACCGGTGTGAAACTAGCAATCTGGCTGCCTAAGCTGGCTGCTAAAATTTCCGAACTTACCCGACAGAAAATACCAGTGGCGGGCGGTCAATTTATTCAATAAATGTCATTTTACATGAATTAATTACATGGAAGCTTCATGATCTAATTACTCAAATTGAATAAAATTGGGACTCACACATGAACATGATATCAGGTGAATAAAACATCAGTTTCTCGTATTATGTTGACTTCACATCGGTTAAAATGTTATTCTCTAGAAAGATTTCCCTGCTCAGCCTGAAAAAAACTTTCTTGATCTTCTCCATTCCATGTAATGAGATTCAATATTTCGATTCTACTACATTTATTAAATCTTATTCCTCAAAAGAATAAGTCACTCGCTCAGCCTGCGGAAAAACGAATCATTTTCACTCGAATTTCGGAAAAAAGGAGTTTTTGAATACGTGCCAGTTGGTTCAGTAAGTATTTTCTGGAATGTTTCATCTCGATATCTTCATAGTAGTGACCTCAACATGCCTATTATCGATAATCTTACAGGTTTTTAAAACAATATATTGATAAACTTGACGATTTTTTGGAGGTTGGCAAAGTTTGACGATTTATTTTTTTTAATTTCTGGGTCACTTTGCCATACATGTATGTCATGATTTGCAGGTCCGTAACATGTCTAGGAAATACATAAAGTACTAAGGAGTCGTTACTATTTGAATTACACTCCAAAAACATTAGAACATACTGTTGATAGTGTTGATGCAATAAAAAAGGCATTTCGATGTAACAGCGCGTCAAAAATATTCAATATACTAAGGATACAATACATAACCTTAGATAAAAGGTTCATCAACGTCATTTTGGTAAATATAGTGCACCAACGGAGCTGAGTAAATAGATGAGAGGCAGCTTGTGGACCTGATCTTTGCCTGTGTGCTGAATTTGGGTGCCCCATCACTCCTTTTAACTTCCATTGATTTATTTTCTTCTCTCCATATTTTGTATTTTTCTCAATACGAGAACTCATTTTTTCATCATTTATTATGTTTATGTCTTAATGAGTTTTGTTGAAGATGGACACCGGATATGGGGTTCATCACACGTTAGACACACTAAAACGCACTGCACTGCAAAGCCACTGTTATAAACTGATGGGTGAATGGCAAAGTATCTTATCTGAAGAATGAACTTTGTCAAAATAGTTATTTTTGTATCTAGAGCGTGAAATTCTACTTTGGTGATCAAGACATGATTTTTTTAACGAGGCGTAGCCGAGTAAAAAAAATAGTCGAGATGACAAAAGTATTTCGCGCTCGAGTTGCAAACAACATTCTTTATACAAACATAAAAAAAATAGTTCTGAAGTAAAAATATGCTTAGCTTGTTATAAAAAATAATGTTGAACTGGCTTAAAAGGCCTCCCCCTATCTTACCTAGGTACGTACGTATCACAAGTTGTGATTTCAAAATTCGAAAATAAAATACCCTCTCCATACCTCTTTCAGATTAAATCTATGTCGCATAAAGAAAGAGCCATAATTGAACATACTTCTTAGGCAAATACATATATCATTCACCGTTCAATAATTTTTCGTGGAAAACCCGATATTTCTGGCAAAGTCACCACGTTTTACGGTAAATTGATTAGTCCTCAAGTTCAAAAAGTTTCCGAACCGTATTTCAACCCTTCTACAATTTCTTTTAGGTTTCTTCTATTACCACAAGGAAAGTAATCCTCTGAAATACACTATTGCCAAATCTCATCAAATTCGTTTCACTTATTTCTGAACAGCGTACAAAAGAAAAGTGTTTTTTATGAGAACTTTGAACCCTTCTCACGGACAAACGGTACATTTTTTGGCACATAAATAAATTGGGTCCAATCAACTTATTTTGACCTCCTCTACACGTGGTAGCTCTGTGTTCCAGCAATTTTGGGACACCCTGTATGTGAAGAAATGAGTGAAAATGAGCGATGCGATGACATTTATCTTGAGCGATGACATCATTGAGTCATTGACATAGTCTACATTGTCTACTTCTCTACTCACCTTCTTGCACCATGCACTACTTGTACCGGTCCCTTGATGGAAATTGACGTTTAAGTCATCTTATATTAACAGGGTACGGACAGATCCTCGTTTCCTCTCACTCTAAAGTGTTTGTGTGTTCTTATGTATGATCTAAGGGATAAACACTAGATTTTTGACATTCGTTGTTTTTTAGGTTATATTGAGGCCACTGGCGTATCATACGTGATTTCCATATGGAATTCCTGATTCAACTATACCAAGATATAGATGAAAAATTCTCCAGTTTAGAGTTTACTACTCCAGCATAATCTTTGCGAGATAGGGAACATATAAATTGTCCTGAGAGCTTGATATATCTCACCAAAAGAGACTGTTCTTAGACTGTATACCAGGGTTGACTGAATTGACTGAATGAATTCTGATTTCAAGCTGAGCAGTTGTTTATCTATGAGCTGAATGAGCTAAGCCTTATGATTGAGAAATGGTGAAAACCTCGATGTGGGTATCTGAACTACTACAGTACTCATGTCATGTGCTCTAAATATATTTTCGTAAATCCAACTCGGAGAAGAATTCATGGAGTGACTAATATCACACTATATATAAAACTTCGTCTAGGACGAAAAGTAGGCTGATGGAAAGTAATACGTAAAATGTGCAGGAAAATAAAGAATAGAATATACCATGTTATACATATGATTTTAAAAAGTCATTTTCAAATGATTTATCGATGAAAGTAACAAAGAAGTAGGTATGCAGTATTGGCACGTTATTTTCACTCTTGCATCCTACTTATTTTCAATTTGTTGTAGAGTAATAATTATATAAAGTAATGTTTCAAGCAAGAATGTCTCTTCCAGAATTTGCAAGTAAACTTGCCGAGGTTCTTCTGAAACTATGCCCAGTATAATTTATGACATCAGGCAGTTTCAAGAATTCTGCAATTTTTTTATGAATTTTAGATATAGAATTCTGTTCAACCATTTGGTAGATACATTTTCCTGCTCTATAGCAGATTCCAATTTTAGTTTTTGAATAGAATCGGATCATAATTACAAAATTCGTTCGCCATATTGGATCCACTATCTTGAATTTCCCAATTTTGACCAAAAACCATGAAGTTCGACCATGAAAACCCCCAGATACCAATCTGAAATAGAATCAGATCATAATTAGAAATTTCTTTTGCTATACATTGGATCCGACATCTTGAATTTTCCAAGTTTGACGAAACAATCATTATCTTCAACCCCCCGGAAAACCTCAGATATACCTTTCAATTTTATATAGAATCGAATCATAATCACAAAACTCGTTCGCCATATGGTCTTCCTTAACAAGTAAATACTCTAGTCACGTTCGGTATTTACATCGCAGATTGGAGCAGATTCTAGTCACGTGGTCACAGATAGATCGGAGCAATCGGAAAAAAACGAACGAAGTGGACATTTTGTTGACAGTGTGACGGTGACCTAACCTAACCCTATTTATTTATTTCATTTATTTCCATTTCAATATGAGTATATCAGAATTTTTCTTGTTCTTTTTCCAAAAGAATCGCAGCCAGAGTCAAATCTATAAGAAAAAATTCAATTTATCATCTCAACACATTAATTAAATGTGTTCACTTACTATTATTTGTGACAATTTCTTCATAATTCTCATCTGACATCATAAAGGTGTGTATTTTGTCTTGCTCAGAATCAAAAAGTTGTAGTTCTTACATTATGAAAAGTTTATTTTGAAAATACGAATACGAGCACAACGGCCAGTCATACATAAACATTTGAACATTAACCTCACAAATTCAGATCAATCGCTTCGCTCGGTCAAAATTCTCCGAGCATCAAAATCTTTGTCAGATCGCTCCGATTTTAATTGCCGAACGGATGAGATCTAGTTCCCCTACATCTAGATGTCATAAACGAACGATTCAGATTCATCGGAGCAGTCTGACGTAAATACCGAACGCGACTTCTGTACATACCAATTATTAAAATTTTGAATGATTTTCTGTAGCGTCCATGGATGTGACGTGACAGCAATGTCAGGGATGCCAGTAGAAAAAACTAAAGTCTCTAGATCATTAAAAAGAATGCAGCTATAATCTGTCCGTACCCTGTTAAGATTTAACGTCAATTTCTATCAAGGGACCCTAGTCTAGACCAATTGACCATTCCAGAACACGTGATTTTGACATGGTTCCTTGAGGGGCACACAAACTATCTGTTAGGTTACCTTTGATGTGCATAGCCCTAGCCATAGTTTCACCATGTTTCACCAAATAAAATTATGAAATTCTTTCTGATTCCAACTCGGATTCCGAGGAATATGCACGGAATACGATCCTACTAATTCTGGTTTCATATGACAAATCTTGACAAAATACAATGTTTGCCCCTCAGCAATCTGTCAAATGACGTAATTCTGGAATAATACGAAACTTGTCAAACCATTTTGGCTATTTCCATCCTTCACTTTCCGTCCTTATAGATTCAAAAAGTACCCCTCATTTTGGTCCCATTTTTGTTGAGATATCTTATAGGCGATGCGCCATATATAGAAATAGTACATATATGGGTTATCCCGTCAGACAGTCTAGATATTTAGCCGCCATTGGTCTAGACTTGACAAGCCGATGTAAATACTGAACGCGACTATTGTATTGGGTATTGGGTCTGACTGTGCACTAGTCACTCCCAAAAGAAAAGTCATTTTTATTTGATACTGGCTACTGCACGGTCCGACCGTTCACTAATTTAGCGTTCGGGGCCGGTCCGACCGTACAATAACATTTTGTTCGGGGCCGGTCCGACCGTACAATAACATTTTGTTGGGGGCCGGTCCGACCGTACAATAATATATTGTTCATACTTCGTCTCGTAAGCAACTGGTTGGCTCAATACACAGAGTATCGGCATGCCAAGCCGGTGGGCCGGGGTTCGAATCCGTGCGAGGTTCCTTTTTTTTTTTATTTTTTTCTTGTTCTCAAGTGATTTCTAAAAAATATTCTCTATGGGAAATAGGTTTATTTAGGGGTTTTCTATGTTTAGGCCAGAGGTGAGGTTCGGTTAGGTTAGGTTAGAATAGAATAGAATATTTTATTTGGTGTTAATACAAGTACAGATATACTCATAAATAGTATATGTACCGCCGAAGCGAGTACATATACTAAAAATGTGGAACGCTTTACGATTTTGCGTGTCATCCTTGCGCAGGGGCCATGCTAATCTTCTCTGTATCGTTCCAATTTTTAGTATATGTACCGCCTTCTCATTTTTTATGCAGAACCAATATTTTCCTTCCTCAAGAAAAATTCTCCTTCTTCAAGAAAAAAGGTTCATCTAGGTCGATTGATTGTTAAAAAAAAATTTATGCTGCCTGGCCAAGACGAGTGTCGAAGTATTCGGACCGGCTCCGAACAAAATGTTATTGTACGGTCGGACCGGCCCCGAACGCTAAATTAGTGAATGGTCGGACCGTGCAGTAGCCAGTCCCTTTTTATTTTCACCACGTAGATATAGGTTATATTTACATGACAACACTGCTGATGTGTCTTGTGTCTCAGGTATTTCTACTAAACTCAAAAAATGGTAAGTATCGGCGACAAAAATGTAATTTGTATTACCATAATGCATTATTTTATAGCCTCTTCGCTTAGATATTAAAAGAAAGTTAACATCCCGCTCGGACAGGGTGAAATGTGTAGACCTTCATCCCACAGAACCCTGGATGCTGTGTTCTCTTTACAGTGGAAATATAAATGTCTGGAACCATGAAAATCAACAGTTGGTTAAAACTTTCGAAGTATGTGATCTACCGGTCAGGGCAGCAAAATTTGTTCCCAGAAAGAATTGGATTATCAGTGGTTCAGATGATATGCAGATTAGAGTGTTCAATTATAACACCTTAGATCGAGTACATTCTTTTGAAGCACATTCAGATTATGTGAGATGTATTGTCGTACATCCTACTCAGCCATACATATTAACTAGTAGTGGTAAGTTGTCATGATGATGATTTTTCTTGTGATTTTATATCATCATCATTTCAGATGACATGCTTATAAAATTATGGAACTGGGAAAAAGCCTGGGCATGTCAGCAGGTTTTTGAGGGTCACTCACATTATATTATGCAAATTGCCATTAATCCCAAAGATAATAACACCTTTGCTAGTGGTTCACTTGATCGTACTTTGAAAGTTTGGCAGTTAGGTGCATCCACTGCTAACTTCACCCTAGAAGGCCATGAGAAAGGTGTTAATTGTGTTGATTATTATCATGGAGGTGATAAGCCTTACTTGATCTCAGGGGCTGATGATCGTTTGGTGAAAATTTGGGACTACCAGAACAAAACATGTGTTCAAACACTTGAAGGACACTCCCTGAATGTCACAGCAGTATATTTCCACCCTGAATTGCCTGTTGCTCTTACTGGAAGTGAAGATGGAACTGTCAGAATATGGCATGCAAATACCCACCGCCTAGAAAGCAGTTTAAACTATGGGTTTGAAAGAGTATGGACCATTTGTTGCCTAAAAGGTTCTAATAATGTGGCTCTTGGATATGATGAGGGTAGCATATTGGTGAAAGTTGGTAGAGATGAGCCTGCTGTTAGTATGGATGCAAGTGGAGGGAAAATTATTTGGGCCAGGCATTCTGAATTGCAGCAAGCTAACTTGAAAGCACTACCAGAAGGTAAGTTACATAGGATTAATCCTTTCAAAAAAGATTGGTGAAGCTTAATATCACTGAAAGGACCCGCACAAAACCATAGGGAATTGGCCCACAGTGGGATTTGCCTGAAATTCACCTATGTTATTGGTATGGAGTTTCTGATCAAATGTCTTCATGTGACCAATCCTCTAAGACCAAAGATTCAGCTCTCAGGGCCGTATTTAGTATAGGTGCCAAATAAACAATGCCATATTTTTTTTCAAGCCCATGATTTTTGTATCTCCCATTATAATTTAATTGAATGAGAAATGTTGCGAAATCATGGCATTTGTCTTTTAGCACAAGTCCTCTGTAAAACATGCCTAAATGACCGATTTCAATAATCGAAACGTGTTCTTATCTTTTCCTGTTACTATGATTCCTAAAAAGCTACGAGATATGTCCTACATGAAGATCAAATGTTAGACCCACCATCTTGAATATCAAGATGGTGACCACTTATGTTATGTACACAAAGAAATCTACATGCATCTATCAAACGACCACTGAAATAGGACAAGAAATAAGAAAGTAATAATAAAATCAATTCGATTCCGCACTTTGTCAAATACAGTTTTACTAAATACGGTCCTGTAGGACAAGGCATGTTTTACAAAGGACTTGTGCTAAAAGACAAATGCCAAGATTTCGCAACATTTCTCATTCAATTTAATTATTATGGGAGATAAAAAAATCATGGGCTTGAAAAAAAAGTGTCATTGTTTATTTGGCACCTATACTAAATACGGCCCTGAGAGCTAAATCTTTGGTCTTAGAGGATTTGTCACATGAAAAAATTTGATCAGAAACTCCATACCAATAACATATGTGAATTTCAGACAAATCCCACTGTGGGCCAATTCCCTATGGTTTTGTGCTGGGTCCTTTGATGGAAATGAAGGACTCTTTGTATTCCATGTATGAATCTAAGAGTAGAAAGTACTTTTTCAAAAAAAAAATTATCATCTTTAAACATGTAGCTGTCATCAAGCTAGTTAGTATTGCCCTGGTTGCCCTGGCTGGAAGAATATTACCTATACAATGTTACACATAAGGGTTGGAACAAAAAAATTATTGAAAGCTTGATATGGGCATTGGGAAAAAGGCTCAGAGTGGCATTTGTTGGTATACTCATATTTTTTATGATGTCATCTATATAAACCACATTTATTGCTTGAAGATAGTTATTTAATATGGGAAAAAATGAAGAAATACTATGAGGTCCATGGACAGAAAAATCCAAAAATGTGTACTTCTTGAAGGTATTATATTATTATTATTATTATTATATATATTATATATATATTAAAATAGGGTATTGCCATTTGAAAAAAGTTATAATGAGGTCATACCTCCAACAGTAATGTCATCATCAAGAATATGAGTATATCAAAACATGTGCACTGAGGAAGCACCTTGGCTGAACTTTTCTAAAGGGTAATTACAACATTTCATTCTCAGATAAGTGGTAACTACTTATTAGATGGCCTACAAATTGATTATTTCAGAACATGTTCTAGAGCTAATCAGTAATGCTACAAATAATGGGTTTTTTAAAATTCAACTTGACCAAACTTTTCTGAAGAATGTTTCCTTGATATTCAATAATAAAGGTTTCAGCTAACTTCAGGTGTGATGAAAGTTCTGAAAATTTAATGTATGGTGCTCTCAACTGGGGCAATGTTAATTTTTCCACTACTAGCTCTAGAACCTACCATTACTCACAACTTTTCAAGTCATGAACTTACCAAAGATATGTTTTTATTTCATTAACTAGTTGGTCATCAAGACAGCCACCTTCTTCTTCTTGTTTCTTCAACATGGTGTAGGCCTCTTTCTGCTACTGAGGCTAATCACTGACACTGGTGAGCACATTACCCCCAATCAAAAATTTTGCGGAATCCTCCGATGGATGGCATATCCTTACCATATCTTGATCTTGTGCTCATTGATATAGTAGCTGTAGCTATGAGAAGCTATTTTGCTGCAGATGTATGAGCTTATGCAGTGTTTCCTTGAATGGTCACCCATCTGCACTTGACACTGCTTCACTCCAGATATTGAACGGCTGGTGCCTTACATGAGAAGTTATGGCGATGCCACCTGTTATTAATCTAAGTTCACATTGAAATGCGATTTTATGATATCCGCATGCGAGAATCCAACCAACCCAACATAGGCCAAAATGTGGAAAAATAGAAATTCATCATAATACATATCAATTACCTTCTTCAATAACTATTTCTATCCTAATCAGAATTCTACAAACAGCTTCTTCTCCTTCTTCATTTCTCTAGCCATCGTATTTACAGTTCGGAACAATCCCGATAGAACAGTGGAGTAGTGGAGATTCAGACAAACAGTACATACATACACTGTATTCAATAAATTAAAATAAAAAAAAATAATAAAAAAAGCTTTTGTTTAAACGCTCTAAAAAGAATACAATTTTACAATACAATTTAATACAATTCATTACAATATATATCATACATACATGTTCGATACAGATATTTCTACATGTAGATTCTAGATTTAAACATGCACCTAGGTGTAACACCTGTGTGTGCATTATTTTCTAACTCATTTAAATAGCTTTCAAAGATTTATTTCTTTTTCTGAAAAACTGTTATTTTCAAGTCAAGAACTAATATATAAACTAATCTCGAAAAAAAAACACAAGGACAGTTTTTTTTTAATTACTACAACTACCTACCTATTTGATATCCAGACAAGTTCTGAATAAATTATAATTATTGTTTATGTAAACTCTACACATCTTAGAAAACATTTTATATTTATCAACATTTCTGATCTCAGTTGGCAGCATATTATAAATTCGGGGGGCTATATTTTTTGCAAACCTCTGAGTAGAGCCTTTTTGACAGAAAGGTACGGATAAATATTTCTTTGTAACTTGACGTGTCTTATATGAGTGAGATAAAAAATTTTGCGAACATTTGTTTTTGAACATGAATTGACAGTTACTGAGGAAATATAGCATTCTGATATTGAGTACATTGCTGTCATAGAGTAGAGCTGTCGGGTATAGCCGGTCTTTATGAAATATTATCTTTAGGATATAATTTTGTATAACATTTAATGGGCTGAGTGCATTACTGTAGAGACCTCCCCACACCAGAATTCCATAGCTCAGAATAGACTCTACTAAAGCTTTATACACTGTAAGCAGGAGTTGCCTTGTCATGAATTTTCTCAATTCATAAAATTTGTGAATAAATCTTCTCAACCTGTTCGTTAAGATTGCAACATGCTTCGTCCATTTTAGATTCTTGTCAATAGTGATTCCAAGGTATTTAGTAGAATCTGATTCCATTATTTCTAAATTTGTATTCTCAATATTTAGGGAGCTGAAGTTTGGTCTACTTGCATTATTTAAGGAGAAGGCAATATAAGTTGTTTTCTTAATATTTAAAGATAGCTTTTGATGATCTAACCAACTTTTTACTATTGATGTTCCATTTTCTGCTTTTACTTTCACTTGGTTCCATGTATCACCTTTAAATAAAATGACAGTATCATCAGCGTATGAAATCAACGTGCCATCTATAGGAGAACATAATAAGGAATTAATGTAAGTGATGAATAATAAGGGACCAAGAACTGTGCCTTGTGGGACACCCATAAGAACGGTTTCTCGATCACTGATTTGATCCCTGATTCTTACATGTTGAGATCTGTTCATTAAGTAGCTTTTGAAAACATTCAACACGGTACCCCGCACTGCTTTTGCTAGATCAAGAAAAATTCCTATACATTTTTTATTCAATTCTAGGCTAGTTTTTATATGATCAATTACATCAAACATAGCATCACTAGTGCTGATGCCTCCTTGGAAGCCATATTGCTTGTCACTCAAAATGTCATTTTTAATTAAAAATTGGCTCAATCTGTGTTTCAAGGATCTCTCAAATATCTTTGCGAATCCACTGATGAGACTGATTGGCCTGAAGTTGCTTATACAATTTTTATTTCCCGATTTGAAAATTGGGACTATAATGGATTTTTTAAAATGGTCTGGAACTACACCCTTGGAGTAGATTAGATTGAAAATATGTAGGTACTAATGGCTCTACTATGTATGGATGATGCTCTTTCAGTAATTTGTTGCTTATATTGTCAAACCCTGGTGAGCTGTTATTCTTCAAACCTTTTATATGCATAATCATTTCATTGTTATCAATTGGTGAAAGGAACATAGAATCTTTCATTTGAGGAAATGTATTATTTATGTTTATAATTGGATCATCGATTTGCTCAGCCATTTTCATTCCTACATTCGAGTAGTAAGAGTTACAAAAGTTTGCCATATCTTTGTCATTGGCAAAAGGGATTTTATTTTCATCACTCACTGATATATAATTTGTTGATTTGGTGTTATTATTATTTGTCGCCTCCTTAACTAGTTCAAAAATCTTTTTTATGTCATTTTTATTTTGTGTTACTTGCTCAGTGTAGTAATTCGTTTTTGCCTGTGCAATCAGTTTATTAAGTTGGTTTCTATAAATTTTATATTCAGTAAGTAGCTAAAAAGAATAAAATAAAATGTTTCTTTATAATTTTAACGATCAACTTATAACCTCTTTATATAGAATTTATATGATCATGAAAGCTTGTCGCGCGATTTATTTGTGTAAATAAACTAGTACTAGAGATTGTAGATTGTAGATGGGTCGTATAGGCTGGGAGACCTCTCGATCACTGCGACCTAGAAGATCTATTGTGATTACCCCTATCTAGTTTTGGTCCTCTAACCCTAGACTTCTGATGGAGCCTGCGATTTTCCTGACGGTTGAATTTTCCACTTTAGCAGGGGTGAGATAGACCTGTTCTAGGTGGTTCAGCCTTTGGCGGACTAATACTTCACATGAGCAAAGTATGTGTTCCGCGGTTTCGGTCGCATTGTTACAAAAGCGGCAAGTGTCAGTCTCCGCCAGGCCCATCTTTTTGAGGTGGTACCT